GCCAAGAAATTTCCTCAAATGACTCACTCCTGAAAAATGTCAGGTTTCTATTGAACTCGCAAGGAGCCCAACTTTCTGGGAAATTGGTAGTAGATATTGCTTCATGGCTTCAAGACCATTGGTCTAATAAGAAGTCTCTACCTTTCCCTGGTGGCTTTTCAGTTTATCAGTTACAAGAAAAGCATACCATTTTTGGAATGGATCCATACTTTAGTTACTTACAACAAACTTTTAACAGCAAAATGCAGTCAACTGGAGAGAACAACAACTCTGTGAAGGTTTACAGTGACAACCTCTTTGCAGTGCCTCAGCCCAGCAATAAATCAGAAAGTACTGAGTTTAAAAACAGAGTTCTGTCACTGTTTGATGAACAACATGACTCTTTTCTGTCCACAGATATTAACAGATATCACTGCTATGAAGCCATGCTAACACAATTAGCTTTAGAAGGTAGAAAAAGGGCTCAACATTAAGTTAACAAGTTACATTTCTCTTGAAATGGAGTAAATAGGTTGTATTGATTTTTTTTTTAAATTTCAATATTGCATTTCCCTAGAACAACAGTGGAGACCTAGAACTAAAACATTTATAAAATGCTAACTTCAAACTTTGTTGTACTTTCATTTTGTTTAGGGACAAATCTATATGGTCTTTATCTCATCTTTATATAGAAATAAATCAGAAGACACCAGATGATACAAGAAACTTTGTTTCATTCATTAAAACCTGTCCTTTGGGTTTAGAAGGCCTGGAAGATAAAAAGGGAAGTGCATCTTTGCAGTTTAAACAGAAAATGAGACTGTAAAACCAGCTACTTTCCTTTCTTTATCGCCTTTGCTGACAGAAAGCAATTAATAAATTAATATAAAGACCAAACAACCCTAGAATGGGGATTCGGGCAGGACTGACTCTATATTGCCATACTTTCACAATCACTAAGCTGGCAGAAATTGGCATTGCTTCTGTAAAAAGAAGCCATTCTTTTCTCTGCACACAAAGATTGTGTCTCATGTGATCACGATGATTTTGACCTCGAACTGTTCCTGGGCTCTTGCTGACCAATACAAAGACCTACAGAGCCATGGAACCACACCCACAAACCCAGAGAAGAAAAGGGAATAATATGACCGATTCTTTAAACAGCAACATAGCTTAAAAGTGATTGGAAAATTACAGTACTAGTACCACCGCCTCTTGCAGTATCTATAGTGCTCTCTTAGATATCTATAACCAAAGGAGGGAAATGTCATGAAAGGTGTCTGTCTAGTAATAAAGTGTCCCAGAGACTACATTCTCCAGGGCAACTTCTACTATGTTTTGTGGTGGTGGGGATGCTGAGGATGCAGATTCCCTCTGACAAGATATAGCTGAACAGTAGTCTTTTCTTCACAGAAAATGACACTTAACTGATTTTTCATTTCCTACTGGAACCCGTGAAATAATGATTCCTTATTCTTGACTTGGTACAAAAAAAAAGGTAAGAGGAACTGTTTTTTCCTGTATTTTGGTTTAAATATTTATGTCAAAGATGATAGACTGTTACTGATTTTGTACTGTTATCATATGTAAAAGCTATGATTTTCACCTTTCAAGCATTAAGAACAATTTTTCTTGGCAGGAAAACTACGTAGCGAACAGACATGACATTTAAGAACATACTTGCCTTTCACCTTTGTAATCTGTCACAGCCTGCAGGTTATGGTAGTAAAATAAAGAAATGATAGCCGGATGGAGTTTGGTTATTTATTTTTCATAGGCTACATACGGAGCAAAATGGAAAATATATCGCTAAATAAATATAGATTGCTAAATTTTATCATTAACATACTGAAATACAGCGCATATTTATCTGAACAGAATCCAGATCTTAACACATATTTATACAAAAGGATTGACTACCTCAGCTTGGGACTTCCCACATATTTCATTGTGACAGCTTGATGTTCATGATCATTTTGCCAGAACTTAGGCAGAATTACCCCAAAACTCCTGGTTAAAAGGATTAATGTAGTGAATCTTCAATCTAGGTTATACTTTTGAGCTGAGCTGTAAAAGTTAGTGAATTAAAGGAGCTACCCATTTAATCCAGTTATAGTCAGTGTGACTTACTTCAAAACTTAAGTTGATTTTCCTTACACTTCAAAATAAATTTTGAATTGTTGAAACTGCACCTAAGCCATTTTTTAACAGCACTAGTAACAAAACCCTTGGACTGCAGCCTAGCTAGGAATATAGTTTTCATTGAACATAGCCTTTGAATACATGTAAACAACTTTCTGTGGAAGGGATGCAACAGGAGGTAGGAAAAGTCATATCGCCTTAACATTTGATTTTTCTGTATCTTTGGTCATCCAACTATTCCAAGCATGCAACTGAGAGAATCACATTTGTTTGATACATCTCTTGTCATCTTTGTATCTTCCAGTCATACTGTCATCCTTTGAAACTTACTCCAGAGTTACAACACTTCACTGTAACTAGCTCCAGATCCTTTTCAAATGAATATATTCTCCCTCGAGTGGAAAAAATTAAGAACTGGGCTGGGTAACAACATATACAAGGTGCAACATGTACATAAATTAAATCATGTTGCCAACACCTTATATGGAAATATTGTCTGGAATGCTGCTTAGGAAGCAAGAGTTCCCCTGACCACACTTTCCTGTTTGAAGAACTGTAGATTTTACTAAACGCAAAAGTGATTCTACAAATGTAGAACTCAAGAAAAAAAAAAGAACTCCATACATGTTTTTTTCCTTTTTTTTTTTTTTTTTTTAACCTGGAAAGGTCCACGTACCCTAGGATGAAATGTATAGATTAATCCCATTTAAAAGTGGGTAAGGTTGAACCCCCCCATATTTAAGAATCAAAACCACTTAGAAACTTGGATAGTCAACTCCTATATTTCAGTGCTCAAAAAAAAAAAAAAAGAAAAAAAGAATAAAAATCAGTGATTAGCTGCCATCTAAGTTTCCTTGAGAACTACAAACACATGGTCAAGATACAAGTTCCAAAATTCTGCTCCTATAGCACATTTGTTTTTCAGTTTCAAGAGTATCCATCAGCCCTGCAAGATAATTGAAGGAGGTATTTGCCTGCCCATGTCACCTGCAGTAGTTGCAGCAGTCTTAACAGACCACTGGCTGCTGAACAAACCAGGGGAGGTGGGGGGGTAAATTATACACTTTTATTTCACAGTTTAGTGTTTAGACCACTAAGACTAGGACTCACTTACTTGCTCAGTGTAAGGAGAAATCAAAATTGCAATTTTCTCCTCCCAGTAAGATGCCCAACTAATCCCTATTAGGTGCTTTACGTTTGGGAGAGAAGTCATCCTTTTTCCTTCCTGATCAAACTGCTCCATTTACAATAATGGATGCAGTGCCAATTAACTTATACCAGTTGAAGGGTATGGATAAGTTAGAGCCCTTTCCTGTAGGTGGAAGAGACAGTTTTGCATCATCTTGGGGAAGAAAAAAGAAAAAGAAAATAAAGCCCCTTCCATTAAAAAAAAAAAAAAAAATAGAGAGAGAAAGAGAGAATTGGATAGTGCCCTAGTCAGTATAGTAAGATCTTTCTTTTTTTTCTGTGGATCTAGCAATAAGCAATTTGGGAACAGTTTAACAAAAACCAGCAATAAATCCAGAATGGTATATACTGCCTTCAAAATATTGATGTATTTTCCCACATTTTTAAAATGGAAATTAAATAAAAAGCAAACCACTTACAGAATTATTTACCTACTTGATTTTAATAAAATTCTGTCACTTCTGATTATGTATGCCAAGGAAAAAAAACCACAAAACCACACCACACAATTAAATAGCAAGTCTACTGTCCACCTCAGTGTTCCTTAAATTTTTTCTTCTTGTGGCTTTTCTCCTTATCTCCAATTTTTCATATCAGTTTTAAATTTACTGTGATTTTTTAAAAAATATGGCGTCAAATTGAATAAAAACTTAGCTGCCTGCAAGTGGAGGGGGATGTACTTAGCATCTTCCTGATCAAACACTGAGGCCCAGGATGTTTCAGGCTTGTATTTTCAAAACCTTCTGTACCTTTTTTTTTGTGTGTGTGTACATTTATCCCATCCCCAAGGCAGCAGCACACTGACACAGTAACACTAATCCAACCTAATCTAACTCTGGAAAGAGTTCATTGAATTAAGGGGTGTGGGGGGGTGGATATCACTGAAGGGGCACACAGATTGCAAGAAGAATTGCAAACATTTATGATTCAGATAAACGAACCATGATGGTAAAGAAAGAATCAACAACTGTTTCTCATGCTGGCAACATATATTTATTGTCATTTTGGAGATAGGTTACCATGTGTATATAAGGACTTCACACTAAAAACAAATCGGGATTATGAACTCTTAGCATATGCCAGTTGGAAATTAAAGGACTGAATATAAAGCTGACCTTTAGAAGATATTCATTCAGTTGGTCGATTTTTGTGTCCCCCCCCCCCCCCTTTTTTTTAATTAAAAGCTGAGCATGTTCCCCTCCCCTTTCATTTCAACCTCAGAAAAATAAATGATCATCCAAATGCAGCTTTTCCTAGTTTTACTAATAATCTGCTGGCAATCTCAGAACATTTTTATTTGATTCTACAACTTCAGAAGGAAGCTATCCTTTACAAACCGTGTTCTTCCTCTACTTTGCTTGGCTACCTAGTCCAACTTTAAGGACTAGACTTAAGCAGATTAAAGATTTGCTTATATTAGACTATTGTGGTTACATTATTATGGTGCAAACCTTCAACACATGCGCTTTGCTGTTCCAGAACAAGCTACATCAGTGCAAGATCTGACAGTCTGTGCAAAAGAAGCCGCAGTGCTACAAATTCTTGAAATACCGTTCCTCTCCATCTCACATGTATTGACTAACAAACATCTCACTCCCACTAATCTGACCAATCCCAAATACTGCCCCAAAAAAGAGGATGAAGATATTTCATGCTTTTATACAAAACACAAACCAACCCCCACTAAAAAAAATCCGCAATTCCCCCCCCAAACATGTCAAAACTATGTTCCCCACCCTCCCAACATTCTAACTTTTATATGTCGCCATTAAAACAAATGCATACAACTTACTGTACAAATATGAAGCTGCAGGCATTCAAGTTACAGAACATTCTGAAAATATTTCAAGCATAAAAAGTACACTTGATAATTGCAAAAATAAAGTTTCACTTTTTTAAAAAACATTTTGATCAGAGCTCAAGCAAAACAAACATTTAATGATACCTACTTCAGTTTAACTCCGTAAGAACACCACCGTCAGAAGTTAAAAACAAAAAACTCAAGATTTTTGGTGATAAAGTAAGTGACCATGTCTTTTAATGAAGAGAAATGGTATATACAACAATGGCACAGACCTTAAGCATCAACAACATATTTCAGCCAAAAGTAAGTCTACAAGTGATCTGAGACATTCTTAGCATCAAATGGTACTGATTACTGAGAACCATAATCTGCTAGAAATAGACATTAAGTTAGACTAGTACGAATGGAAGGAAAGATTCATGACATCAAATAGGCTCAGTTTTTGTCACTGAACTTTTTTTAGGCTAACAATTTCACTAGTGCAAGACCATATGTTTACCTGATTAAATGAAAACTCATAAATGTCACAATTTAAGAACACTCATACAAAACTATTTTTTTTCTTTTAAAAAAGTGCCACATACCATACTTTTACTAAAAAAGTTACAAACTAATGGAAGACTGTCTGTCTCCATCTCTTGTCAACAAGGAAAGGCCAAAGTGATTCTTTGATCCCAGCTCGAAATGGCGTTCTCTGACCTATCCCCAGCATCTCCAACTTCGAGCAGTCTAGCTGAGCATTCCTTGGACGAAGAGCACCCACAACTGGACAATCAGTAATCTAAAAAATAAACAGAAAAAAACCCCAACACACCAACAAATAATCAGAAATGACAGAAAAATATTTATTCTTATATAAGCTCATTTAGAAGTTTTCCTTCATAGTTTTCTATATAGGTATGTTCCCCTCCTTCCTCCCAGCTATTTTGTGCGTTGGCTTTTTTTTTTGTTTGTTTGCTGCTTTTATGGTTAACTTATTTTAACATAAGATATGTCAGGCGGAGCAACATAAAGTATCTTAAGCTAAATTTTTCTCACTCAGTTACTGCTCACCATTTACTGACCAACTTTTCTGTGTTTTATTCCTATTTTCACGCTATGACTATAATCACAATGTAAAAAATGCTATAAAATGTTGACAGAACCATGTCTCGATCAACATACTTGAAGAGAAATGGATTTGAGCAGAAAAAATTTAGACTAACTTAGTGTTCTCCATTCCTTTTCTCTCCATCTTCCAAACCACATTTCAGTTCCAGCCTTTACTAATTCAGAATCATTGACATTTGTTTTGGATATAAAAAAATCTAATTTACATGTTATATTCTTGCAAAATTATCAGTATGTCTTTAAGAGTAGTCTTAAGTGTCAATGAATCTGCAGGACAGGTATTTTAAGCAAAGCAAAAATGATTTGAAGTTCTTAAGTGCATGTATTCAGAAATAAACCTGGACATTGAAAAGCCCTTAGAGAGTTTCCTACCTTCAAGTTAATGTTCTGTCAATCTGTAAGCTTTTTTAAGGACAAAAATACAGCAAAAAAATATGGATTTACTCAAGACTAAGGGGAACCGTTCTGCAGAAATACCATTGCACTACAGGTTGTGAAACTGGTTACTGACTGACTGGGCAATTTTCCTAATTCAGCAGGTCAAAGCAGCTGTTGTTTTCCTGTGTTAGATACCAGACAGCATCCTCAGCAATACATCTGCTGTGCTAGACATACTCAAACAGATCGTCCTGAAGAGGAAGCCTATTTGTATAGCTAGTGTGAGACCTACTACTTGAAACGATAAAGCACATCCATCTTTCCACAGGTCGAACAACACATCACTTACTGGTCTCAAGTGGCTGCTGGGAAGATTGAAAGCATCTGCAATTGCACATGCCATTTCATACTTAGTCATCTGTTCATTGCCAGACCAGTGAAATGTTCCTTTTACTGATGGGTCCTACAGAAGAAACAGGAAACACAGGTGAAAAAAAAGCAGCTAACTAGCCCTCAGACTAATTCCTGTGCAAGAATTGTGCAGAATAATCTTCCAGCAAGATCCTATCCTGAAAGGCATGTTACAGCACCTCACTCATGTTCTAGAACTGTCTCATGCATTCTCAGAGAACACCTGACTAGGGATTGAGACTGAAAACTGGTGTTACATATATCTGTCCTGACTTTTCACGAACAGCTTATATTCTGTAGAATTCACAAGAGGGAAAGGAGGGAGCCAACCAACCAACCAAGGTCAAGTAGCTGGGAAAGAGGAACTTGGCTATTCTATACTATTCACTTACCGAAAACAAATGCAAAAGGCACCACACGTATTCTGAATGTTAAACTGCAAACAATGTACAAGTCCTATCAAACAAATTGACGGCACCACGTGCACCATATGGGCATCGTCCATTTTTTTCCAAGTAATATGTATGAAAAACAAGAACGTGGTCGGTTGGTTTTGTTATCTTGCAAAGGTGGTAACCTGAAGATGCTGTGGTGAATAAACACCATAAAGTATTTAGTCCAGTGGCTTCTTTTTGCCACTTCAGTGTTCTTAATAGAATAAACAAGGGCATCTTTGAGAATTACATTCAACCACCATGGGGTTTTTTTGAGTCCAAAATGGCAATTTGTAAGAGGCATATTAGAGTAAGTTAGGTATGTGCGTTTCTCTCCTATATACTAAAAGACACATGACAACTTTCAGAAGGATCTGTCCCATCACTCACTTCTGTTTCAAATATCAGAAGATCCACACACTGTCATGTAAAGATACTGTAGCATTACAGCTAGTTCTTTCCTCCCTCCCAGCATTCCAGAAATGCAAATAATGCAGCTTAAATGCAGTTCTCAGTTGTTCAGAAACAAAGCCAAGAACTCAAACCGTTTTTACCTTAAAGAGGCTTGTTTCTTTAAAGTCTTACCAGCATTCTCTTCTCTGCTAGTTGTCTGCAAACAGTTGCTACATCCTTGACGTTAGTAGGAAATCTTTGTTGCCAGTGGTCCATGTTGGCAGATTTATTACTGAACTGCACTTTATCAAACATAACAGTCACAGCACTTTCCTCCAGTCTTTCTACATCTCCATACAAGACAGGAATCCGAAGTACTGCAGCATCTAAAAGAAAGAATATTTTAAAAGTATTAATATTGTTAGGAATAGGTATGAATGCTGTAGCGTAACCTGAAAAGTGTTTTGGAAGCGTTAAAAGTATGTTGGTGATATTAAGCATCTACAGATCACAAAGAAAATGCAATTAATATGTTTGCCCTCACAATACAATTCTAATTTACATCAATTAAAGCAGCTTATAGACACTAAGTTTATATAAACTTATTTTCATTTATGCCATTGATTTCCAGAAAGTTAACAAGCTTTCCATTAACACCGCAAGAGAAAAAAGAAGGCCTGTTTGGGTTAGAACAAAAATTAAAAAAATTAGAAATAACAACTGCACTGTGAGATTACTCCAGCACTCCCCATCTTCCCTGGGTAAGAGCAGGAACAAAAATTCCCACCAATCACAAATCACCATACTCAGACATCAATTACAGACAAAGATTTTTCACTCAGCATGCAGAAGCCTCTGCATAAAGGAGGATATTATTTACCAGAAGACAGACATGAACCTTGGAATGAATAAAAAGCTTGACAAATAAGGAATAGGTTCACAGAATACAGCAGTAAACAATATTGATTTCAAGATAGTGATTTGAGAAATTAAACAGTAGACAAGTGCAAAAAGAAGGATATTTTATGATGGTATACATTACACTAGTCTATCTCAGTCATAAAGACTCACAAGGCCTCTTTGAGGGGAAATCCAAGATGACTACAACAAATTCATTAAAAGTAATACAGATATTTTTGCTTAAAAAAAAAAAAAAAAAAAAAAAGAGTCCTGAATTTAGAAGTGCAAGTCACCAAATCATTGCAATTCTTAAAGATTTGTAGGAAAATGTTATAGCTATTAGGAAGACGAAAAGAAAAAGATAACACACAAATTACTCTCACAGAAAAGTAGACTGAAAGAAGTACTTACACAAGAACAAACAAACAACAAAAAAAGCCAACATGACACTCATTTCCTGCTGCTCTAAAAACAATTATTTGGTCGCTCAGCAAATATGTTCTTCCTCTCTTTAAATACCTGTTGAATTATCTCTTTTTTGGTATCTTTAGAAGTATTCATTATTTGCGAAAAAGACTGCCTTCCTTTTGTTCTCAGAAAGCTACCCGAAACTTGGAGAGCATTAGCTTCATTACCGATGGTTCTGAAGACCTACTAAAACTTTTCAGTTTTATAAGCATGAGTGCTAAATATGACCTCTATCCCCTCCTAACCAAACTAAAATATATTTTTTTAAAAATACGCAACCCCCCTGAATTATTAGTGGAGATACTTGCATTATACAACAGAAGTGGACAGGGAAGTTCTTCACACAACTACAGACATTTGATAGGGTGAATTCTACCTATACGATATTAGCAAATTAGTGTTTGGAAGACTAATGCATGTAAAATATTTATATTTGTATTAAACAATAGAATGGACATTTTCAAGCATCTTACTCAGCACCACCTTGAAACTCCTTCTGCTAATACCACCACTGCTGCAACCCACTACTGCCTGACAGGTCATGCTCAAAAAGGTTATGAAACAACACTGAATGGTTGAGCTGGGGGAAGGATCTAGCAAGATACCCACACGTACTTGAATTTGGTGCAGTCTTATCTTCATTACCAATCTAGAAGAGGGAGCAAACAGCATCACAGTCAAATTCAGAGACGATATTTAAGAGGTGGAGTGAGTAACTTTTCCTTTAAATTGATTTTTACTTAAATAAGACTTTTCCTATCAAAGTATTTTTTAGAAAGTCTATTTCTTACTAGTAATCACAAACCTATATTAAAGGCTTATCATTTTCAAGTATTCAATTAAGTATATATTTACTTACTGAAAGACCATCACACTAGTTCATCAATTGCTCAATTCTCTGGTTAGGCAGAACAGAATCACATCGCGAATATCGTATCAACATGCGTCCTTGTTTCAACTGGGATAGAGTTAATTTTCTTTCTAGTAGCTGGTATAGTGTTATGTTTTGGATTCAGTATGAGAAGAATGTTGATAACACACTGATGTTTTCATTTGTTGCTGAGTAGTGTTTATACCAAGTCAAGGACTTTCCAGCTTCTCATGCCCAGCCAGCAAGAAGGCTGGAGGGGCACAAGGAGTTGGGATGGGACACAGCCAAGACAGCTGACCCAAACTGGCCAAAGGGATATTCCAGACCACTTGACATCATGCCCAGTATATAAACTGGTCGGGGGGAGGGGCAGATCACTGCTTGGGAACTAAGTGGGCATCAGTTGGCAAGTGGTGAGCAATTGCATTGTGCATCACTCAGTTTGTATATTTCAATTATTTCATTATTATTATTGTCATATTATTTTTATTATTAACATTATTATTATTTTCTTCCTTTCTGTCCTATTAAACTGTCTTTATCTCAAGCCATTAGTTTTACTTTTCTTCCAGTTCTCTCCCCCATCCCACTGGGTGGCAGGGAGTGAGCGAGCGGCTGCGTGGTGCCTAGTTGCTGGCTGGGGTTAAACCACGACAACAGATCAGAAGCCTCTTCTGCAAGTGCACTGAGATTATTTTCTTCAAATTCTTTAAGAAAATAGAAGTGCTTCTTTCATTATAATCTGTGAATGGAGACTGACAGCATACTAACTAGAAAAAACCAAACCTCTCTTTTATACAAGAAATAAGTTTTAAATGCAAGGGACCGTGTTCAGTCCCAAGCTTTTTTCCCCTATTAAGTAGAATTTTTAAAATTATGAGTGTATATTTTGAATGCCAATTTCCATTAAGAAAATATTTAAATAATAAATTAAAAAAATAAGAAGTTAGTTGCTTAAAACCAGAAATATGTTACTAACCCTTTAGAAAGTTTTACAAGCAGGAAATCTGGTGTGTGTGGTAAGCTGGGTGATTAAAAACAAAATGGATGGCCTGATGGCTTACGTAATGAGAGCAAAACAGGAGATCAGCAAAAAACCCAAGAGAGTAACAGAAGCCTATGGTGATTTTATCTGCATTATTATTGAATCACACGTCTGTTTTTCCCTCTAAGTAAACATACATTTAGAACAAGTACAACACATCCCTCCAAATAACAACAGCTATATATTAAAGTGTGGTAAAGCTTGTGCCTTACAATAGATTGATGATGTATTTTAGCTTTCCTTAGGAACAGTTGATGCACAGTAGACAAAGGCTTGTGAATGTCCATCAGCAGAGACTAGTAACACAAATGAAGACCAGAACAAGTAAGAAATAAACCTTTAGCCAACCTATGAGCAATAGGAATCATTTATGAGCAAGGAGAATGAATCCTAATCACATTCCTTTCTAAATCTCATTTCCATGGTTTTGCAACTTTACCACTGACTTAGGAGTATATTAAGCTAATATGCAACTAAGGAAAAAAAGAAAGTCTCTATTAAAAGTGTGTGAGTGTATTCTTACCTTCGTTATTTTCCAGGACTGCCTTTTCACCCTCCAGTTTGGTTTTACCATATAAATTCAGGGGATTTGGTACATCAGTCTCTTTATAAGGAGGGCTTGTTCCATCAAATACATAGTCTGTACTAATGTAGATCAGAAACGCTCCAACTCCAGCTAGGAATAAAATGTTTATACATAGTCTATTTTAATTCATGCCTTGTTTGAAATCCCAATAAACCTTTAAACAAATCTCCAGAGGACCTCATCTTCTAGCCCCATTCATTCCCACTGCTTTGTCTTTTCACTAATCCTTCACATAGACATGCATGCTACCCTTACAGAAAATGGATTGACGGCACACTTATCATAGAAATGACATTCAGCACTTTGAGTAACTTATTCGTATTTATGTCCCTGTATAAATAAATGCAGTATTTTAAAAAGAAACCAAATCTATTAGATGGTCTCCTTACCTGCCTCTTTTGCCAAGTTCCCTGAAGCAGCCACATTGAGCTGAGAAGCAGCATCTGGTTGACTTTCTACAACATCTGGTCTTCTCTCAGCAGCACAATGCACTATAACATGAGGCTGGAAATTAAAGACTAATTTTAAACAACACACATTATCAAGAGATTGCAGTTCCACCCTAACTCTAGTGATGAACTCCCTCAGGCAAAAAGGCATTTCACAAAGTTGTGAGAAGTAATAAAAGTAGTAGTATTATTAATCATGGCATTCTGAGGAGCGTGTTTTCTTTAGGAAGTAAAATAGGACCATGCTGCTTCAAGATACCGGAAAGATTAATCATTAATTTTGCCATTATGATCTTCAGTAGCATTGATTTTACAGCAAGATTGAAGTTGTTCGTTGGGTTTTTCTTTTTAATTCTGTGTAATATAATAATGTATCTCACCCCCCCCCCATAATGGTACTTAAAAAAACCCCACATTAGCCAAACTATTTTTAGATAAGCCATTTACACATAGCTTATCTGACATATGCAGACTATTAACAAGATATTCAAAGCCGTTTTATGGAATGGCCCTGTGTTGTATAGTATTCATTTCAGGTTTTATATATTCCCCTTGCAAGTTAAGATTGAAAAAACTTAACTTCTTACTGCACTGCACACTAGACACACAGTTACTGCTGTTGTATTCAAGTATTCTTCAACTTGAAAAGAACTGATTCATATGACTATGTCAATAACTCGTATTTGTCTTTTTCTTTCAACTGTCAGTGCAAGTGTGCTGACACGTGCATCTGCTACCTGCAGTCTGCCCATGGTGATGATAGCAAAGTTCAGAACTACCTGTATCTACAGAGCAAACCTACGCCTCAGATGCGGCAGAAGAGGGAGCCATAAACGTTTCAGAGCTCTGCCAAAGCATTAGCCCCACTAAAGCCACATGAACTGAGTATCAGAACAGCACTATCAGCTGATTACTAGATGTATAAAGCACCCTTTATCCATCTACTTCTCACTCCAGAAACTTACCTGAAAATCATGGATAATGTCATGAACTGCAATAGAGTCCAGAAGATTAATCTGTTCAAATCTGGGCTGAGCTCTCCTGTATCCACAGCCAACTGCATTCCAATTATTTTCATTGAATTCTTTAAACACAGCTCTACCAAGAAGTCCCGTGGCACCAGTAATCAAAACTCGCCTACTGGGAATATGAACATCTTCCTAGGGAAGTGAGAACAGGAAAAAAATTTCTTTCTACTACTATTTATTACTGTTTTTTCTTAGAAAGCATGCAAGGCTACAGTCAGTGCTACTGTATTGAATAGCTTTCCTTGCCACATTAGTGTATTGGAGTGTCTCATGGAACGCAAACATCTGGGAGTAGCAATATGGTACCTAGTCAAGTATTTAAACATATTTTTGAAGATAATGAAAACAAAACTTAAATGGGAAACTCATTTATTTCCACAACAAGAGGGGAAAACAAGCCAAAGTACTAATGAAGACAGAATTTTAAGTTCACTCAGAATCTGATTAACTTTGTGCAATATGAAATGAGGGAAAGAACTCCTTTTGAAAATGGACCCCAAATATGTAACATTTAGGGTCCGCATCCTTCAACAAATAATTTTCGATAGACTGTGCCTGTTAGAGGCTGCAGCAATACAACACAACTCACTGTGGGCCTACCTACAACGACTGTAAGAATTGAAGAGTTGAATTTTATTATTAAATAGAACAGTAATTCATCATTATGTAACACAATAGCCTAATAAGAAGTAAAACCAAGATATAGCTCCCTTCTCAGTTTTACAAAATGCATCTGAAAGTGATTTGGTAATTTAAACTCTCAACCTATACAACATACTAAAGCTTTACTTCAGCTACTGCACATTTCAGTACTTGAGACAGTTGTCTACGTCTGTTCACACAAAGTTCATTCCTCTCCACCGCTCACTAGACCATCAAGTTTTCAAGGCAGCAAACTAAGACTCATGTCTGCCTGTGAAATCTTTATTGTCCTTTCATGCATTCCTTCTGCACTTATCACGAACAAGAGCCTGCTAAAAACAAAAATAAAAGCATATGCTTACATGCCAGTACAGAACAAAACTTCAGATATGCAGACTCCATAAATCTTGGGTTTCCTGACCACTTTATACACAAGGACAGTCTGTGATAATTGATGAGAATTTTGTAAATGGTCCCTACTATGTAAATAGCCCAATCACTTCTGAGCATTCATACATTTTCAGCATTGTAACAGACCACTACTTTTTGATTGCGGCACAGGAAGCAACAAAAATCGCTTCCAAATGGCTGTCTGTCTTTCACCCTTAAAGTTAAAAAAGCTTTTGTTCCATAAGTGTATATGCAGGGCTGCATTATGGAAACAGCCTATCCCAAACCAGTTGCTTAAAGTTCCCAGCACAGTGCATGCATTTTCCTCAACTCTAGATCTTCAGGCAGAGGACGACTTATTCCCATCAGTACTGGATGAAAATTAGTAATTTATATCTGGACAGTTTCCCGAAAATGACAAAACTACAGCAAATGACATTTTAAAAAGTTACCTTTATCTTTACAGTCAATTTGACCTCAGGACACAAGTTTATTTACAATTTTTTAAGGCTGCCCACAGTTTCTCTGAAAAGCATAAACAAGAACATGCCAGTACTATTTTCTCTTTTTGTTATGTACTTTTTATCTTAGCAAAGGCTGGACAGAGCATCATAGGACAGATTATCAGGGCTTCTATAGCCAGAGGGTACCCACTAATAAAAATCAAAGACTTGCTGCAGAAAACCAAGTTGAAAGGTTCTCTAAAAACGTCACAGGATATCTTTAATAAGTAGAAGGTGACCAACACAAAAACACGCGTCATTTGTAAAACCTGACGTTTTCAAACATCATTCATCTAAGTTCGTTTATTCTACGCGTCATAAAGAGGATGTTACATTAGCAGCACAGCTTGAACTGAACGCAATCCCAACTTATACCAAGTTAAAGTACAGTTTGCATCCTGTTGCTCTTGTCTGCAAGACTAATTGGTTTTAGTCACTTGTTCCCGGGAAACCATGATAAGCGATAGATGTTTTCCACAAATTCAATGCAAAGTGACTACCAGTGTAAACGTATTTCACCTTGCCAGAAGTTAAACATTCTGGTAATACAAAACCTGCACAGATTAACTTTTTTTCCCTGTATGTCACCTCGCTCCTTCCAGAACACCACTGAGCTGCAACAGCATTTCTGTCTCAGACCTGGGAACTACAGACAACAGAACTTGTGAGTCCAAAGGACCTCTGAGGTTTCACGTTCCCACCGCTGCTGCTTGCAGATGCTCTCACAGACTTGCAGAAGCTACTGCTGCTGCCTCACAGCTGTCCACACACAGACAAGTGAATACATGTTAACAGCACCATATACTTCAGTGTAGCAACCAGGCTGCCTTTAGTAGTTAGCAAAGCTAAAAAATTAATTCCTGTTACTTGCTTTGTCTTGCAAGGAATTAATCATGGTCCTATAGAAGAGGAGGCAGCAAAAATCTATAGCTACTATCTAGGAGTATCAGTACTTAACTGAAACCACATATGGCATAACATCTTTTTACTTCTATTAATTTACCTATTTTTTCTTAAATATGGTTGGAGTATTAATAATGTAATGCAACTAAAAGATAAGACCGCTCTTAACTCTTGTCCTAACGAGCTAAGGAAGTACACTTGGAATTTGCAATAATTTTATTGACAGTTGCTACATGTAAAGAATAAAAGACACTCTAGAACTCAAGCATTACCCTTTTGCCTGCGAGTTTTATAGGCTTAAGTGCAAGTTCTTGTTCAGATTAGCCTATCTGCTAACAAATCTTTTGCACGTGTTTCTCAACTAAGAGGCAATCATGTTCAGAGTCATCAACTGTGCAAAAAGTTCTCTTAGCAACTGATCTTGAATAATGCTACTTAAATGCACAATTTTGAGTTTTACAATGAAGTACCCAATTTCATTTTGCTTTATCTGACGTTCAATGCTCACCAAAAATTAATAAAACCAGGGCTGTACTCAGCAGTCCCGTCCACATAAAAATGTGCAAGCAACAACATTGTAAGATTCAAAAATAGCATTTATGGGGCCCAAGATTACTTTTCAGACACTACCGACATACGAAATAAGAGCGTAATTTCCAGAAATAGTAAAGCGTGATGCATTTCAAGGTGAAAACCAAGATACAAGTACTTTTTAAGCTTTACGTAGAAACCGAGCCTGACGCGTCACGGTGAACTCAAACCCGATCAGTTCTAAGGAACGCCCGCTGAAAACGGAAGGTACTGGGGTGAGGCAGATTCGCAACGTAACACGACGACAAAAAAAGTCACTCGAGGGAAGGGGCCGCGAGACCGAGCTCT